ACAGCTGAAGGGCAGGAGGGGAAATCTAGGCACTGTGGGATGAAGTGACCTGCCCAAGGCCACCAAGCAAGTCAGTGGCAGAGCCCAGCCCAGAACCCAGGTCTCCTCTTCCAGGGCAGTAAACACTTTCCACGAGAAGGGCGAGTCGAGCCCTTTCTGCTTTCAGTGGGAGGAACGTCTAAGTATGGGTCTTCCCAGCACGTGCACAGAGATCACCCCAAGCCAATGCCTGAGACCCACCCAGGACCATCTAGCCCTCCCATCCATTGCCTGTGATATCAGACCTCTTTCCCGCTCCCAGCTCTAGAGCCCCTTGTGCTGTGATGACACAAGTGCACTAAAGCCCAATCTCTACCCCACCCTGTATCACAGCCTGGGCTGCAGAAAGGAATGGATACACACTCCAGTGACTACCCGAGGCAGCCCAGCAGCTCGTGGGAGCCCTTGCAGAAGACCCATGATCTGGGCCTCATTTACATGGGGACCAGTGGCTCCAGACTGAAACCAGCCGGAGAGCAAAGCCCATCCCCACCATTCTTTTATCTGGGATAGAGGGGAGAGGGTGGGCTGATCCTGTCCACCCACACCCCTTCTCCCTGACCAAGCCTTCTACAGCTCAGATGGAGACCCCTGTGGCCAACTCACCTTCACACTGCTCCAGGGCTATATAGGGGAAACTGCTGAAATCAGGGGATGCTGGCCACGGTAGAAATGGGGACCCCCAGAGGGAGCTGGGCCCTGACCTGGGGGAAGAGTTTTTATGCATCAAGTCTTCTCCTTTGTGCTGTGCCCTGCTCAGAGCCTCAGCTCCTGGGCTTCTTGGAGGCTATGAAGCCCTCAGAAGTGTAAACCTTACATTTACTCTGGATGTGTTTGTGTGCGCGTGCCCACTCTAAGCTGGGTCCCAAGTGCGAAAAGGTGCTGGCGCCTCTTTGCTTTGCCTGCTAAAAATGCACACATTATGCCAACGAAGCCTGCAATTAAGTGTGTGTGCGCGAACAAGTCACATTGCTGCAGACACACATAGATGCACGCACCCAGAGCGGAACTGCCCCTGCCCGCCTCGCCCAGTGTTTGCATGTGCTGATCAAACCAGAGCTCACCCAGAGTGGCCCCCCCACAGATGGCAGATCCTTTCCTATAAGAAACCCCCTCCCCTTACACACACACACACACACACACACACACTCTTCTCCAGGGCAGAATGAGAAACACCAGTGAAGTCCCAGCTGCTGATTTATTTTTAAATCCGATTTGTCTTCGTGAACCGCTGAGGTCAGGAGGGGACCCAAGCTGCAAACTCCCCAGCTGCATAGATGGGCTATTTTGCAAAAGGGTTGATATTTGGAGCGATACCTCCAACACAGATGCACACACGCAGGCACACAGACAACACACCCAAGGATGAGTTGAAGGCACCTAGTTACCCATTTCCAGCATGTGCTGGAGGGCAAGGGGGAGGGCCAGCCCCCGACACCTGTCTCTGGGGCATTATTTATAGACGAGATGGAGGGCAGGGAGCCGGGCTCCTTGCCAGGGGAGGGGGTGGGCGACACCTGGGCTACCCCCGCTCCATCCAGAGGCTGGGCTCGTGCCTCGCCAGGAGAGATGCCATGTCCGGCCGGCGGGGAGGAAGGAGCGATCCTGGCCGAAACTGGCTGGTTCCAGCTGATGTCAGCAACAAAACGAAACGCGGGGGGGTTCAGCGGCGCCGCTGCCCAGCCCCGGTCCCTACCGCACAACGCCCCCAGCGCGGGGGGCAGCCGGGGCAGCGACCCCCGCCCAGCGCGGATGCGGCCGCGGGCGCGCACTTACCTTGCTCTCCTGGAGGGCGTCGAGGGCGGCCGGGG